CAGACATTTATGGCTGACACTATACCTTTTCGCTTAGGCCGCATCGACCGCCGCTGGCTGACAGCGTGTAACATGATATATAACTATAAAATTTACACTGTTTTATGAAATTACACAAAATTTATTTAAAATTTACTTAATTTTGATTCACGATTTGGTTTTTGACTCATTGGATTTCATTGAAACACGGTAAACATAAAAACGGTTCTCCATTACATCTATTACAAAATGTGACAACATTCTTTTAGTCTTTTTTCTGGCCATTACCAGCTTCTGTTGCATTTTTATCATAACATAATTTACAATATTTTCGTACTTCAGAGGCTTTTCCCGGTTTTCTTCGGAGTTTATGTTGTCGTTTTCTAGATATTCTTGCATTTTTGTTCGACGGAATGTCTTCTTTTTCACAACTTGTTGCTATCTTCTACCATTCCATTCCATTGACGGAAGACGCGAGCAATGTACCTTTACCATAGGGTGAATCAGTTCAGCACCGCGCCCCCCAAGATCTAGAGCAGCCAAAGAGGCCACACGTGAGCCGCGCACAGAGAGACCAAGCCCAACGCCGGATCCACCCAGGGCAGTTCAACGAACCGTTTTACCCACACCCCGTCGCCCAGGCGTCAGATTTATATAAAAGAAATATTTACATGGCCAAACAAGGGCATAGAGAGATGCAATTAAGTACATTAATAATATATCAAGGATTGTACAAATTTAACAATAAGAGGTAATGATTACAAGATTACAAGATATACGAATCACTGGCCCTAAAATACCAGCGGTTTTAGGCGAAGCGCGTGGCCTGAACGGGATTGCCTAAAACATACGCGTGGCGTTCAACGTGTTAATGTTTCTCAAAATATGAAATGATAATAAAACAAATTCCAAATTCAGGCTTCCAGATGTCCATATTCGAATACAGTATTACGTTATTCCAAATTGGATGTTTCTAGGTATCGTTGTTTTTTCACAGTGCAAGAAACATACATACATCCTTGCAGATTCTTCATTATTTAATTTTTTTAAATATAATACAGGGCGATAATATTCGGTGGCAACAATTAAGTGAACCGACATTTGTAGCGAACCGACGCAAAATGCCAAAACGAAATTAATACCCCTTCAGGGCAAATTGCCTCTTTGGGCTAAAAAAATTGATATTTTTTATTATTAATATGCTGAGTTTCATTAATAAGCAAAGGCTTATTAAAGGTAGTTTATGGGAACTCGCAAGTCTCAATCGAGAAAGGTCCCGTGCTCCAGATGTTCCTTAGATCATAACTAATTCTTCAAAAATAATAAACATACCATGCGCTTTGAAACGATCAGAAGTTCAGGTGAGGTGGGTTGATTAGGCACTTCGACAATTCGTCCTTGGTTTGCATGAACTATAACTTAAGGACCCTAAGGACACAAAATTGAGACTTAAAAAAATTCTAGAGCGAAATCCTGAATTTTGAGAGCCGGTATATATTTTATACCGGCGCCCCTCTAGGACATTTTTTTCCAGGTAGTTGCCAACTGTTAATCTTTGTTTTTTAAATTAATTTTGGGTACTTTTGATGTGCGTCTGTAGTGATGAGTGCTTGAATATAGTTATGTAAGTCTAAGACAAAATTTTCTTAAATTTCGGCAGAAATTTAAATTTTAAAAATTTTTTTACGCACTTTGATGATGCAACCCAGCTGAACATACTTATGGGTAAAAAGCTCTTCAACTTGATTTAAATTCAATATTATTTTATAAAAAAATTTAGCAAATATAACACTTGTGTAAATCGTATCATGCTGTAACTGAACTAGTATGATATTACAAGCAGATGTACTCAGCCGAAAATTTAAATAAATTGAAAAATGAAGCACTACGGACCGACTCGCTGAGAAAGTATGTTGGCTTTTGAAGTTTTATTTTATGCTTTAGATAATATGTGAAAAAAACCATGCTTCATACTATGATACAAGAATTGCCCCCCCCTCCACGCACACACACTTTAGATCACGAGGACCGGAAGGGTCCCTTTTTTATTTTTTGTAAATATAGGTTGTAATATATCTTTTTGTTCAGGAAGAAACATCGTTAAAATTTTATTATTGATACCTCAAAGCTCTTATTCTGATTTTCAACCCCTTTTGGCTTCATAGGGATCCTTTTCAACTTTTGGATAAATTCTAGTTTGCATCTAAAACGGGGCTTAGAAATATTTTTCCTCATTTCGCCAACTGAGAAATTTATTTCAACAACAACCCTATTTGTCAACCGTCTGAAATTTTTCTTGTGTCTAGTCTTTCATCTGAAATTAACAAAGATGTTAAAAAGAATTTCCTAAAGAATAAAAGCATGCTTTCAAATCAGCAGTTTTTGTGATTAACACTATGACGATGGACCTTAAGTACATTTCCATTTTAAGTGAGCTTTCCCGTGTTATTTATTTAGGGGAGGCCTCTCCCAAGAAATGTTGTAGTCCCTCTTTTCTTTTTCTTAGCTAAAACCAACTTTTTGGGGGCTATATTGAAAGCCAGCTCTTTCACCTGACGTCCATCCAACCAATGTATGTAAGTAAAGCGTCGGCACTCCCATACTATAACCTGACGCCAAATTGCAGCGCCAATTCATTGCAGTGGTGGCGATGTAAACTAAATCTCTCCCCCTCCTCCTCTCCCCTACAGAGACGCATGGAGGTAGAAAGTAAGATGGAGGGTCCCTAATCGGTTTTGAAGCACTGCGATCCCTTCGCGTTGACCAAAACACTGGGGGATTTAAGATCAATGGGTTTGGCCACGATCGAATGTAAATATTTTGTAAGTGCGTCGTAATTATACATTTATATATTTTCTATTTCTACAATATTTCAGAGTCCTAAGTGTACGGAAAGAATACATTTTTAAACAAATTTTATTGTGTTATTAACATTAAAATTACGCATTATTTCTTCTCTACTTATAGAACTTCTGCTTCTGCCTAAAATACTTTCTCAAATATGACATGATTTTTTTTAGCTTCTGATGCATCTTTTAAATGAAAAAAATCCAAGTCAATTTGTAATTAATGCTCTATTCGGTCCATTTCAAATTAGCTCTCCTTTTATTTTAATAGTGAAATACTACGTTAAAAAGGGAATAAAAAAGGATTTTTTAAAATATTATTTAAAACTTGTACTTGCGTTATTACAAAATGTAGGGCAATAATTATTTTAATTATACTTATCAGACTTTTTTATCCTTAATTTCAACAATACATATCCTAAAACTCTTCTTTATTACTTCCTTAAGTACGCATCTCATAGAATTTGCTTTGCAGTACCTTTTAACAGATTGCTTTCCAGTACAAACAATTCATGCTTAAATAGTTTTATAATGTATTTGTCAGCAGAATTACAATTTATGTTTACAATTTAATGTTAAGGTTATTATATATTTAGATAATATTTATAATTATTATAAATTTAGATACATTTAATAATTAGATTTCTTCAAAGTAATTTTCACGGGAGTTTTTTTTATTTCAAATACATTTATAAATAATTTAATAAATATTTACGTATCTTGTTAAAGGCAGATACATACTTTTTGCAAATACAAGCATAAATACCCATACATATTTCACACTTTCGGCATGTGCAAATCTTTAATTTCTGTGCATTTACAATCTTTTTTGAGTAAAGTAATCTATAATAATTTAGCATATACCCAACATTTTTACATAAGGGGAAATATGTATGAATATAATTTGAATGAAAATTACATGCATTATTTTTAATACACACTCAAAGGTCAGTTTTGCGTTGAAATTCCTTCACGATGGCATCTCTCCATTTAGGCAGATAACCCTTGCCTGACTTACTCTATTTAACAAAAACTTAACCTTATATGCCTAATTAGAAATATTTTAACATACAAAATTTTATATTTACAGTCAGCCATCAAGTTTCACACTTTGAAACACGTTTTAGAATACATTTATTATCAAACTCAAATCTTCTAGAAAATATATTTTGGCAGAGCATTCAATACCTTTGCTGTTACTGGTTCTCAATTTCTCAGAGAAATCTTTAATCCAGGAGAGAGTTAATTGAGAATCGAAAATTTTGCCACTTTTTAGTTACGATACTGAGAGCAAATATTGTAATTATGCTCTCGTTAGCCATTCTTTGTCTATGAAATGAGACCTACGTACATTAAAAAGCAAGCATGAACTTCGAATTTCCGAGAAAAGTTCTATTAATGGGTGAAACACTTATTTGTAGACAGGCTATTCATATATCAGCACATGGTAACCTTTACCCGAGTCCATGTACACATTAATCTTATTTTCATTCAGAAAAAACCGGGAGCTAAAACTATCATGGTAACCAGAAATGAGGTTTCATCACCAAAATTTAACAAAATTGTTCGTAATCGAACGTACACTCAATTCTACACTAGAACCCTTATCAGTTCTATTTAAGTTGTCCCTTTTGTACTTTTTTTAAATCGACTTTAGATTTTGCAATCTTTCTCTATTTTTTCACGAAGATGAATTTTCAGAAAGAGAGCAGAGGCAAAAGACAAAACCTTTTCTTTAACATTTTCAGCATGAAGCTCACAGTTTAGAAATTCAAACATTGACGACTGCGACAAGAGATTTTTCAAATTCCGCAGGATGTCAGGTGATGACAAGCGGCTAGATAAAAAAGTGTTGGATATATGCAGAAGTTCAGCAATGCATAATGTCATCTTTTCTGACGGATGTGTTAGTCCTCCTTCTGTTACATCTTGATCCTTATATTCTTTAAAATGTAAGAACAGAGTATGCTGTAGCATAGGCTTTGCCCTATCTATAAGAGCCACTTTACATGTATCGCACTCATTTAGCTTTAGGCAACGTAATACTCTTCTGGATAAATATCCACTTAAGAAAGCAACTACATTTAGTGATAAATTGTCAAGTTTTTGAAAACTTGCATCACAGCAGGAAGAATCACAGTGAATGACTAAACTATCACATCATCAAATCCTTATTTCTACTATTTTGTTCATCCTCCTCCTCTGCATCTCCTTTACTTTCTATACTTGTAGATGGAGGTACAGGAGCCAAAATAAAAAACATAAATTGATCCCCATCTGGTTCACAGTTGGAGAATTTACTTTTACATCGGAATGAATTTAGTGATGCAATCTTGAATACTGATGAAAACTCGTAAGCCGATGGATTTGTACGGTTTCCACCACTTCCTCGGATACGACTAAAAAAGTTTTCAAGGCAATCTTGGTTGCATCTCTTTGTCATAAAGAATTCGCGTTCTTTCAGCATCTCTTCCGAAAGCTGCAACATGGCTGTTATTGTCTGGGTCCAACCTTTTCTACTACCGCATCCTGCGACATGCCTTCTAGGACCTTCTTGATTTTGTGCAAGTGGTTTCAGAAAAAACCCATGAGTCAATGAATGACAGCATGTTTGTCCAAAATTTAACATGTTCAGAACCTTCTGTTACAGCACAATGTAATTGTTTTCCCCTTAAGGGATTTTTTCGAATTCCATTCATAGAATCGAACAAATTGTCTATCTCTTGTATAAATTCTACCGTTGGAGCAGCACTTGCTTCTATTAGTCCAGATAGGACACACATATTCATTCCTGCTGCTACTGTGTGGCTAAAAACTTGCGCAGCAAGCGCAACTTTCATGGAATTCATGCCAGCCACGTATATGTGTGCATCGGTAATTTTTGGTGCACAGCGAACAAGAAGTGTTTGATCCACTGTGTAAAAATCTCGAATGTGCTTGAATGACACAAGTCCTTTATTAGTTTGGAGGTCATATTTCATAAGGCTACGTCGTAAATTTTTTAAAAGGTGTGGTGGATCGAACAAACAAAAAACCTTCTGCCCATTAAAATAGAAGAATGGCTTTGTAGATTCTGTTCCTAGGAGACCAAACAATCTACAATTACTTCCACTCTGGTCACAAACCAGAGCCTTAACTGTAGCATTAGCAGAAGACAATTTTGACAATGCCTCCATTACTATATCTCGAAGTCGTTCTGCATTCATGGCATGGCTTGAGAAGTAAAAACCAAGTGGTACCTTTTTCTTGCTAGTCAAACTTCTCAGCATTAGTACCAGTGCATGATTGGCAAATGAATCGCTTCGTAAACCACCAAAGTCCTCAAATCCAATTACATGATCTTTTTGTCGGTCATACACTAGAGAAGGTTTCAATGATATTTCGTCAAAGATTAAGGCAAACATTTTTTCATGTTTCTCCTTATTTTGCAGAACTTGTTTCAATGCAAATATAACATCTGCACTAATCCCTGTGTATGAGAGCTTCGATGACACAAAACGCTGAAGAGTTCGTTCATCTGGTAGCTGAAGAAATTCTTTTAAAACACGATATGCTGCTCTACTTTTACTGTAGATGCGATAGGCATCAATTTTGTCAGACTGCGTAAAACGCCTGCCTTTTGTTTTTTGAGTGTTCAATATTACCTGCCGCTGAATGAATGAACATTTTTTGCTAACCCCTTGACTAAATAGTGTTTTTTCAAAAGAATGAGCTGTAGATTTTCTCTCTGAAGATGCCACTTTTAATTTTAGTCGCCTTGCCAAGTCCCGATATTTTTTAACAGTATTTGCCAATACTGATTTTCTGGGCGTATATTTTCTCGCTGAAAAATGCGACTTTGGTGTGCTACAGGCTACTGGTGTTTGTCGGTTACTTGGTCCTTGAACAGGAACTGGAGATATTAAATGATAATCCATAGCACTTGAGAATGGAGTGTCACTTGAATTAGGCACCTGCTGATCTGAAACTGCATTCTTTGTTACGAGCGATTTCGGACAATATGGCACGGCATTGTGAACTAGACGATGTTTCGTAGTAACGTTTGTAAAACACCAGTCTTGAAAGTGAAACATGCAGAGATATGCTTTTTTATACAACTCAGAAGCGGGAACGCCAATAAGCTTATCATTTTGGGAAACCTTAGCCCATGCTTGGCATCTGAAAAGAAAAGAATGAAAAAAAGTATAATATGTGGATTATATTCAAACATACAATAATTAAATTATTCATAAAACATTACTAACTTTTTCAAAATTATAGAGTTGTAGTTTATTTCAAACCTTTTGATTGCTAAGGCCTTTTGAATTATCTATAATAGTAGTAAGCCCCACAAACCGCGCGGCGGAAGTGACATCACGAGGGGTGGCCTCCGCCATCTTGGATCACGTGACAACCGGAAGTGACGTAGTTGGATGGGATGACGTAGACGGAATGACATCATCAAAGTTTCGTTTTGATTCTGTGGCAACGATAATACTTTCAAAGTTTCGTTTTTGTGGCAACGACACTATTTGTTTAGGTTTTGGGGCAACGAATACTTGAACCACGTATTTTGAATGACATCATCCATTTCTTGTTGGGACATGTTTTTACAAAATGGCGTCTGCCGTATCACACCTTTGTATGCCTCCGCTGAGGTGTATGGATACTTTTCTGTGAACCAATCAGATTCTTTGAAATATGACCTCACCGTCTCTTAACCAATCACCGTTCAGATGAAATAAAGAGTTCCTACCCGAAATAAGGTTATCCCGAGCAACGTTCCGCATTCCTTTCCTGCTTGTCGCCCTGAGTGTAGGTACCTGCTTTTGCTTCGACAATCATTCTTCACTGCTTCGAATGGATCAGCCACAAAACAACAAAGAAGTAAGTAACTTATTGAAAATTTACTGTTTTTTAGAAGTTTAATCTTTAAAAATTGTGGAACAATGTGTATTTAATTTGGCTTTACTTTCTTTCAGATGGAAAACTTGTTTGAGAAAGAACCTATGCCTTTGAACGATAAAGTGTTGAACCATGAAGACCGCACCCTAGATGTTCCCAGAGAATCAACTAGCTCTTGTGCCAAAAGAAAAGCAGAAGAAACAACCCATTTCGAGAAAAAAGTACGTATTTGCGAAAAATAGTTTATATGTCAAAGTTGATATTGTATGTGACCCCATTTTTAATGTATTCTATACTAACTGATGGTGGTGGTGGTGGTAGATTTATGGCGCAAAGCTCTATAGGCCATATGCGCCAAACGCAGGATTCGTATTTCGCATAGAAAGTAGAAAAGAGAAAAAAATCTAAAGCAACAGCACACTTTTAAAATGGAGGAAAGTAAAAAGATGATGAAATGGTGGGATGAAAATGTTGATTATGACTCTGATAATGAAATATGCAATGTAGATATATAATCTTAAAATATCTGATTCATTAAAATTCCAACAAAAAATCTCAAGACAAAATCAAATTAAATAATAGAAACCTGTTTCTTTCAGGTAGTCAAACAAATTGGTATTGACCTCTCTTCCGATTAAACGGTCGAGAGGCAAGTCGCAGCTATTAAAATACTTCTCACGAAGACTATTAAAATATGGACATTCAATTAAAATGTGATACACTGAGAGACAAACATCACAGTTTGCACAAACAGGCTCGTTTTCAGCTTTCAGAAGGTAGTTATGTGTTACTCTAGTGTGACCAATTCTAAGACGAGTTAAAAGAACTTGTTCCTTACGATTGCAAGTAGTGTGCCAATGCTCTATTTTAGCCTTCACCCTTCTCAACTTGTTATGTATCTGAATGTCCCAAAGTTGTTGCCATTTATATCTGATCTTCCCTTTGATGACACAACAGATATCTCTAAAAGGGATGAGGCGGCCAGACGTTTCAACAGCAGATTTTGCTGTGATGTCTGCCAGCTCATTGCCTTTTATTCCTGCATGTCCAGGGACCCAGCAGTACAGAATTTCATATCCACGACTTCTTAATTTAATATTTAGCTTCAATACATCCACTATCACAGGATTGTCGGGGCTTGAAATGGATTCTAAAGCTTTTAGTGCACTGTAGGAGTCTGTATATATAATGAAATATTTATAGTAAAGCGTTGAGATGTACAAAAGCGCATAATAGATAGCAGTCAGTTCAGTGGTTAAGACCGAGGAGGCGTCGTGTAAACGTCTGCCCTCCAAGTGGTCACCAATTATCAGGACATCCCAGCGTGACAAGTTGACTTTGATCCATCCGTATATACGGGAAGATAACTGCTGTAATTATGCCTGTGCTCAGCAAAAATTTGTCTGTATATGATGTCATTTGTGGTTGTTTTTCTGTAATTGTGGAAAATGTCAAGAAGCTGGATTTGTGCATTTTCCCAAGGTGGGATCTCAAAATTCTGTACTGCTTGTGGGGACATATCAGATAAGGAGAATTCTTCAATGAGCAAACGAACCCTTATAGGAAAATAAGGCACACAGGATGGACGTGCTTCAAATAAATGGCCACATCTATCATCAGATAAACACAGTTTGTAAGGATGGTCAGGTTGAGACAATATATTAAAATACTGTAAAAGAGACAACTCCTCACGCCTCAAACGGAGTGATGGCTCGTGACAGTCAACATAAAGGCTCTGCACAGGAGATGTCCTGAAGGCTCCAGAACAAATCCGCAGAGCCTGATGATGAACAGGATCTAGTTTTAACAACACTGAAGACCGGGCAGATCCGTAAACAACTGAGCCGTAGTCCAGTTTAGAGCGAATTACAGCTCTGTAAATGCGAAGCATGGAGCAACGCTCTGCACCCCAGGAGGTGTTCGCCAGGACTTTTAAGATATTTAGAAACTTTGGTACACTTTTTTCTCAAGTTTAAGACATGAGGAAGGAAAGTCAATTTTCGGTCGAACATCACCCCTAAAAATTTTACTTCAGGTGCAACTGGAATTACAGACCCATTGAGGTATAATTCCGGCTCAGGATGGAGACCTCGCTTTTTACAAAAATGCGCGCACATAGTCTTCTGTTTCGAAAACGTAAATCCTTGTCTTTTTGCCCATTCCTGGATCCTGTTCAAAGTGATCTGGAGCTGTCTCTCTACATGTCTCATATCCACCCCTCTACGGCTAATTTGTAGATCTTCAACATATAAAGAACCTGAAATGCTGGGAGGAAGTTGTTTTAATACAGAATTTATTTTTAGGCTGAAAAGAGTTACACTGAGCACACGGCCTTGAGGCACACCCTCTTCTTGTTCAAAAACATCAGACACAACAGAGCCAATCCTTACTTGAAATGTTGCTAGTATTCAAGAAATTCTGAATAAAAATTGGTAGGTTGCCGCGCAAGCCACTCTCGTGAAGATCCCGAAGTATACCGTATCTCCATGCCTTATCATAGGCTTTCTCTATATCGAAGAAAATTGAGACATGGTGATTTCTTCTTACAAAAGCTTTTCGAATGGATGTCTCTAAGAGGAGCATATTATCTACGGTTGTTCTCCCCTTTCGAAAACCACTTTGATAAGGCGATATAATATTATTCTTTTCCAAGAAGTAGACTAGGCGGCTGTTTACCATCTTTTCAAACAGTTTGCAAACACAGCTGGTAAGGGCAATTGGCCCATAGTTCGAGGGATTCCTCGGGTCTTTCCCTGGCTTAACAATAGGAATTACAACAGCTCTCCTCCATGCACTGGGAAATGTACGTTCCTTCCACACTCTATTGTAAAGTGTGAGAAGGACACTCAGTGACTTATAGGACAGATGCTTTAGCATTTCATAATACACGCCATCCAGACCCGGACAAGACCTATGTGTCTGCAACAAAGCTCTCTTTATTTCAACCATAGTAAAGTCTCTATTGTACGGCTCAAAGTTGGAAGAGTTGAAAGCGATGGGATTTTTCTCAGAGCGTTACTTGATAGAAAGAAATGCAGGTGAGTAATTTCGGCTGGAAGAAACGGCAGCAAATGTCTCACCAATTGTATTTGCAATTTCATCTATGGAGCTAATCACTCGGCCATCTTTTTCCAGAAAGGAAAGTGAGTGGTCTTTATACATTCCGCATCCTTTTCGAACTCTTTCCCAAACCCGCTTACTAGGCGTATAGGATGTTATTGAGGACACATATGAAATCCAAGAATCCCTCTGGCTCTGCCTTCTTACTTTCCCTGCATTTGTTTTGGCTCTTTTAAAAACTATGAGGTTTCGCAGAGTAGGATATCTACGAAAAATACTCCATGCTTTTTTCTGTTTTTTCAGTGCTTCATGACAGTCGCGATTCCACCACGGTTTCGAATATTTTAGTGTTTTTCCTGATGTTCTAGGAATCGAAAGCATAGCTGCCTGAATAATAGTATTAGTAACAGCTTCAACAGCGTCATCGATATGCACACCTACCATTTCCTCTGTCAGCTCTGCAACGGAAGAGAAGAGTTCCCAGTCTGCCCTGTCCAGGATAAAACGAGTGACTCTCGACACGGGGTTTGCTCCTCTTCGTGCAAGAGACACAAAAATAGGATAATGATCGCTGTTGTAACAGGTCATTTCCGACACTAAAAGTGCGAAAATGGCAACAGAGATGGTGAACAGATGGCAAGATCGAGAGCGTGGAATGTCCTTGAAGGCTCATGGAAGTACGTATCTTGCCCATTATTTAGGAGACAAAGGACTATGATCTTCGATCATCTGCTCAATTTGTCTTCCTCGGCAATTTGTATCTTTACTTCCCCAGAGTGGACTATGGCCGTTAAAATCTCCTATTATGATAAAAGGCTCAGGACAGCTGCTCTATTAGATTATTTAAATCTTGCTGATAAATGTGCTCATTTGGAGGCAAATACAAAGAAACGAATGAAACAACAATATCAAAATTTATTTGAGTAGCGACAACTTGGAGGGATGTCGTCAAAGGAAGTACATTTGAGGGATAATCCAGTGAGGAGAGGAGACCTACACCTCCACTGGCACGCTCACCTGCAAGGTTATCCTTCCTGACGAAAGAAAACCTCCGAAGTTTTGCATGGTGTTTCTGGTTTCAGATTTGT